ACTTTTGGAAGTTGAGATGTCGAAAAAGTGCACGCTGTTGTGGCGCAAAGCACATTTCCAAGTCAAAATGTACAAAGCACTTCATCTTCGGAGCATTTTTAGAAGTTGCGCTGTCGAAAGGTTGCATGCCGTTGTGGCCCGAAGCACATTTCGAAGTCAAAATGTGAAAAGCACCACATGCTCGGACCACTTTTGGACGTTCAGATGTCGTTTCGCGTGGCAGGCGCAAGGGATTGTGGACCTTGTCAAAAGTGAGCAAAACGTGAGGGTTTTATAGCATTTCCAAAAACGATGGCAGGCGTGGGGCATTTGAAGAGGATCTGGAAAGATGCATTTTCCGTGGCAGGCGCAGTACAAGAGACATGTTCATCAGAGCTGTTAGGAGGTCCGAGCGCTGATTTCCTGAGAGGGTTTGCATTTTGGAGCCTCCGATCTTCAGGTTTTCTGAGATTATTTTCCGTGACAGGTGCAGCCCTTCGTATGACCTAGCATCACTTTTTCGTGGCAGGCGCAGTAGTTTAGACAGATGGACTAAAGAATCGCAAAACGCATTGGTACGAAGCCGTCAGCTCTGCACTCAACTTTCCATTTTTGAAGGATGTCTTGTGGAATTGCTTCGTTTTTGATGTTGTCAACTTCAAAACATGAGGAAGTCTCGCAGAATTGCTTCGTTTTTGATGTTGTCAAGTGCAAAAATTGAAGCCTCGCTGAATTGCTGCGTTTCTGATGTTGTCAAGTTTAAAAACTGAGGCAGTCTTGCAGAATAGCTTCGTTTTCAAGCTTGCAGAAAGATAGATAGACAGAGAGAGAGAGATAGATAGATGGATGGATGGATAGATGGATAGATGGATAGATGGATAGATGGATAGATGGGTAGATGGATAGATGGATAGATAGATAGATAGATAGATAAATAGATAGACAGATAGATAGATAGGTAGACACATAGACAGACAGACAGACAGACAGACAGACAGACAGACAGACAGACAGACAGACAGACAGACAGACAGATAGATAGATAGATAGATAGATAGGTAGATAGGTAGATAGGTAGATAGGTAGATAGGTAGATAGGTAGATAGGTAGATGGATAGACAGACAGACAGACAGATAGATAGATAGATAGATGGATAGATGGATGGATGGAAAGATAGATAGATAGACAGATGGATAGATGGATGGATACATAGATAGTTAGGTAGTTAGATGGTTAGGTAGACAGATGGTTAGGTAGATGGTCACATATTACATGCAAAGTAAATAAGCACATTTAAGACTAGTTAAGTCTAAAGTTCCTAGCTGCGGTAGGGTCAAAGTGTAGGGCGACATCGCGCTGGCTCCTGGCCCGATAATCTCACGACGATGTCGCAGCCAAGTGGTTGATATGATGATATTGGGATAATATATTAGTATTATATAGGTTTATTGATATTCAATGTTCATAAAACATAATAAATAGGATCCACCATCCTCAATCTTACCAATGGGTGCAAAAAACAATCAAAACCTGGGTGGTTTATCAGTGCTTTGCCAAATTTGACAACGACATTGAGAAGCATAGCCAACTGCTAAGCAGTGCCCCACTGGGCGTCCCCAGCCATGACGGAGTCGCTGCGGTCGGAGGATGAGGATGACAAGGCCCCTGCGGTGCCACATGAGCCGCATGCGATTGCATGCGTTTTAGCAAAAGCGCACTATCCATGCATGCATCCAGCCCATCCCATCCCTACACCCCTTCATACTTACGTACAAACGTACGTACGTGTGACTTACCTATCGACCCACCTACGCACCTCCATGCATTACAGGCGTACGTACATACGTACCTACAAACATACAAACAAACAAACATGCATACACGCATACGAGCATACATGCATACATACAAACATACAAACATACAAGCATACAAACATACAAACATACAAGCATACAAACATACAAACAAACAAACACACACATACATACATACATACATTCATTCATTCATTCATTCATTCATTTATTCATTCATACATACATACATACATACACACATACATGCATACATACATACATGCATACGTGCATACAAACATACATGCATACATACAAACATACAAACATACAAACATACAAACATACAAACATACAAACATACAAACATACATACATACATGCATACATACATACATACATACACACACACATACATACATACATACAGACAGACAGACAGACAGACAGACAGACAGACACGCACACATACATACAGACGTACATACATATATACACACATGCATACATACATACATACATACATACATACATACATACATACATACATACATACATACATACATACATACATACATACATACACACACATACATACAAACATGCATACACGCATGCGGGCATACATGCGTACATGCATGCATACATACATACATACATACATACAAACAATCAAACAAACAAACATGCACACACGCATACGGGCATACATGCATACATGCATACAAACATACAACATCCAAACATAAAAAACATCCAGACATCCAAACATGCAAGCATGCATACATGCATACATACATTAAACTACATTACCTTACATTTACATGACATTACATGACATTACGTTACATGACATCACATGACATGACATTACATTACATACATATATACACATTACACAACATAAAAACACATGACATGACATGACATACCAGAACATTAGAATACAATAGATTACTTTACCTTACCTTACCTTACCTTTCCTCACCTTACCTTACCTTACATGATAAGATTGCTTTACTACATACGTACATACATACTTGCATACATACATAGACTTGACCCCCTCCATTCATTCTACATTCCACACTTTCCGCTCTTACATTCAGCATTTCACACCACATTCTTGCGCTCCACACCCAACACTCCCCACTCCACACTTTACACGGCACACTTGACACTCCACATTCCCAACCCACACTCTACACTTACACTCCACGCTCTACAATCTTTAAACGCCACATGCAACACTCCACGCTTCACACTTCACACTTCACACTCACACACTCACACATTCACACACTCATACACTCGTACACTCATACACACCACACACCACCTACACACCACCTACACACCACCTACACACCACCTACACACCACCTACACACCACCTACACACCACCTACACACCACCTACACACCACCTACACACACACACACCCACCACCCAGACACACACACAGACACAGACACAGACGCAGACACACACGCACAGACACAACACAGACGCAGCGCGCACGCACGCGCACCGCACGCGCCACGCAGACGCACGCACGCGCGCAAACCGCACAACAGGCACGGGCGCGCGACGGCCGCGGGGGCCCGCGGAACGGGGCCCCCCGCTAGGCCCGGGCGCCCCGGGCCCCGCCCCCGCCCCTGCGGCCCGCTTAAATCCAGCCCGAGCCAAGCAACACCTGGGCGCCGCGCGCAGCATGTACCTGAATTCCCAGCTGCCCAGATGAAGCCGACCGCCCCATTTGCCACCGCACCGTTCGACCGATGATGCTGACGCACCGACCGCGCCTGCCCGGGTGGGAAGCGGTCGGCCGCACATCGCCGCAGGCTTCAGGGCCAACCAACGGTCCAACCGCACCGCTTGGCAGCACACACCGATTTCCACCGACGCCATGATTGTCCCGCACGCCGCAGGCACGCATTTGACACATTTTGACATCATTCTAGCACAAAAGCATTTGCCATGCTTGCCGTCACGCACGCGGCTGGCCAGCACCGCACGCAAGCACGCACCGGCAACAGCGCACGTTCGCACCGCCATATTACGGCAAATCCACCGCCAACACAAGGCACATTGGGCATATGGCACACTTCCGCATGCATGCACCGGCAACACATTGTGCCAGGGGCTTGCCGTGGACATCACATGGGAAGACCGCAAGGTCACAGCGCCCCACCAGGAACGTAACCACGCATCACCATGGTCACATGGTCATCACACAACCATCACGATGGCATCACCATGGTCCCACCATGGGCCCACCATGGTGGTTACCACACCCCACCACCATGTATGCGCACGTGCATCGCCATTATCAGAAATGGTAGGATCCACCCCCCCTACCTCCTGAACCAGTTGGGGTCGTTTAAAAAGTTTTACATCTAGGGTTTCAGCACACATACACCACACGCACCCCACGTACCCATAGAAATTCCCCAAACATCATACGGACATCAAGAAACTTTCTTGCACATACATACCTCCCTGACCATACTGTATGTACAGATCCCCGTTCTGTCTGGCACACATACATTTACGTACATACGTAGATACATCATTAATGCATACGCCGTACATACGTACAGACGAGCATACGTCAGTACATATACGTGCATCAGTAGTGACATCATACGTACACATACGTACATACGTGGGCATGACATGTGGCACAATGTGGTACTTACATACATTACATGACATGACACATGGATAATAGACACAAAAGAACATAGATACATAGATGAATAGATACATAGATGCATGCATACATAGATATTTAGATAGGTAGGTAGATAGGTAGATAGATACATGCATACACACACAACATAACATAAGATAGCAAAACATGAGGCGACACCCCATTGATATATGTATTCATACATGCTCTATACAGAATTGCGTGTTGTTCATGCGTTTATTTCAAGGATTTCTGTCTACTTTGCATTCATATGCACGGACCGGTATACATCCTGTATATCCATATAGAATCTGTTGATGTATGCGTATGTATCGATTTATATTGCCTAATCTGGTGCGATTATTGTTTCCCAGTATTCAAAGGGTGCGAGCCCCATCATTCTCCCATTATTTCCATATTGACATGACGGTAGAGACAGTAGCATCCTTCCGTTGTACTTGTTCGTTCCCTCGGAAATGCTTTTGTCACTGTCAGGCAAGCGTGGTCAGCCTCAGATCCCTCGGAATGAATGCCGATGAAAAAGTGGATGGGTTTTGGGCAGCCCATCGGGCGTTGGCGGCCTTCTATGAAGCAGACATTGCCAGATTGGAGGCCGATGGAATTGATCAACGATGTGGTCTTTATCAGCAGTCGATGGCAAAAAATGAAGACATCAGCAGGGCAGTCCACAGTAGAGGCATGTTGCCACATGGTCCAATTTTTCTCATGTCACAGCAGATACGTCTTGCTACATCTTGGTACGTTGCTACATGTCAGCAACGTTGCTGGTAATTGAAACTTGCAATGTGTCCAAGGCGGGTGCCCAGCAGTCTCATTCCTACCGAAGCATCAGCCACCGGAGCCATCAGAGTGAGGCGAGGAAGGGAAGTCAAATGAGTCGGTTCAACTCAGTTATTGGAGTTACTTGACCTTTCGACCTTTCAAGCTTTCGATCTGAAACTAATTCTAAGTATATTCTACTATTTTTAATTCCGATTACTTGGTTCCAATTTTGGATCCCAATTGATTCCAATTAGGTTCCGATTGTGTTCGATTGCAAAACTTACATCATTGCACTATAGCTTTTCCGAACAAAAACGAAATCCAGGGATTCAGGTGATTGGTGAGATGCAACCACCTTTGCACTTTTGATTCTCGAGGAGGGGCGGGGCTATGAAAGGTCCCCAGCTGGCATTCAGTTGGGAGGGTCTTTTCCTTCGGCGGAAATTAATTTCTTTTTTGCTATATTTTGCAATCTTTTTTCTCGTGGCCTTCCTTAGTTTTTTGGCTTCATTTGGCTTCCATGATTTTTTTTCTGGGAGAGCAAGAATAAATTGAAGAAAAACAACAGCAAACACCAACACTCACCACAGACCAGCCACAACTGCATATAGAAAGGTTTGACGAGCTTGCACCGTTTTCATCATGGCGTTCCCAACCGAATGTGATGGAATGTCGAACTGGGAGGTCGTTTTGAATTTGAAACATCATGGACTGGAACCCTTTGGCCGAGTCAAAAGCGAAAGTGTGGTATAATGGATGTCGAAAACGCATTTTTTGTGTGGCAGTGAAAATGGAGCAAGGGGCTAAGCCCTGTTTTTTTTTTTTTTGTGTGTGTGTGTGTCTGTGTGCGAAGGGGCAAGCACAGGTCTGGAATCTGCGATGTCAGACAGTAGATCGACAAAAAGAAGAAAATCTACCACAGAACCATAGTAGATCTGCGGCAGTGATGCGGTAGAGAAACTCAGAAATGTGACGGGCTGCCCAGGCCACCCTAGATGTCATCCAGCGCGTGCCAGTACAAACGTAGCTCTTCAATGTTCTTGAGTTGTTTTGGCAAACTTTGGCCAACTTGTCCAGATAGCAAACTTCAAGACAGTTCAGCAACCAGTTAAACAAAGTCTTGCGCTAGCAAGGTTCTGCACATTCCCACCATAAGACCCAGTTCCTTTTGACTTGGCGCTATGCTCGCATCCTTCAAGCTGTAAAGAATGGCAAGCTGGTCCCTACCAGGATACCTCAACTGTTGGGTTTAGAGGAAAGCCCATTTGGAGAGGCACTCACGTGTCCCTTCTTTTTTGGACGGACCCAAAGATCCCAAAGCTGTTTGGGCGCCCAACGCTGCAAATACCTTGAATTCCTTTTCCCAGGTATATACGTACAACTGAAACGATTAGCCCGCTCACAGAGGCTGCAAACTTGCCGCCAAACAACATATTTCCCAGAAAAAACAACCCAACTTCTCTACTCCAAAGCCGTTCTTCGGATTTTCACGATGCGGGTGGGTAGGGGTTTGATAAGGGGGCTTGATTGTTGTGGTTCAGACAAATCCCATGCAAGGATCCCAACCCACATAAATACAATAAACACTTGGATTTTTAAGGGCATCCCTCTTAATATGTTTTGTTTGCGCATAGGTGCAGCTTCTGGATGGGGGATTTGCTTCATCAGGGGTGCAGCTGTGAACACGTGGTTTCTCCAGATGCTTTCTCCAACAGCCTAAGGCCCCCATCCCTTGAGAGCTAGAATAGCAATGGCGTTCAAATTCCTGGGCAATTGCATTCAACCAATGTGCATACAAAAAGCATCAATCATCACTGTGTGGCCTCAAGTTTGCGCAGAGAAAACGCTGCCAACACTTGTAAACATCTAGCATGTCAAATCTTCAAACAATCCACTCTGGGGAGTCACAATTGCGAGCCTACTCCTAAACGTTGTCTCTTTAGAATGTTGTGTTGGCCCAAAGATTAGAAAATATTAGAAATAACATTGGAACAGAGAGCTGACTTTATATCATCACCTGAGCACTGCCAGGCTACCAAGAGTGGGATCCTCTCATCGCAAGAAATTAGCAGGCTTCGTCGCCGGTCCTCAACGAATCATCACGAGGAGGGCCCGGGTGGGCTTGGCTGGGCCATTGGGGCCCAGGTCCTCCGCAGTGCTGTGGGAAGGGTTGAAGGCTGTGACAGGGGAGACATGTTTAGCATTTTCAGATGGACCTGAGAAGAAGGATGATTTTGAATTGAGCCCTCGCTGATGCCATTGCTTTGGATATTGTATTCCATGCCATCAGCGCATCGCAGTACTGTCAAGGCGGTGGCTTCCATTTCCATGACAGCCATGGGCTTGCAAGACCCCTTCCAGCAAGAAAGCGAAGTTGCTCGCGGCGTAGGCCCTTCGCCGCACAGACTGCGTGGGCATTGTGGGTATGGATCAAGATTACCAACCCATGAAAACATAAAATGACAAAGGGTACAAGTAGTACCCGGGCAAGTCGGGGGCGGAAGTTTCAAAATTGAAATGCTTATAGCCTATAGGGCGGAACAAAGAATCTGCCTTTGGGTGCGGGCAAGCCTTCTGTGCTTCGCAGCAATAACCTCGTGACTTTTCATTCCGGCGCCATCTCTTGTCAAAGTTGGATATTTTCTCATTTCATCTGATCTCATCGCATCGCAGCTTCTCTTCGAAATTGCTCATTTCACCCCATTGTCACCGCAGTCTGTGTCATCCCATCTCATCTCATCTCATCTCACCTCGTGTCTTCTCAGCATTTTTCACCGCATCTCATCAACTGAGACGAGCTGAGATCAACTGAGAAGATGTGAGAGGAGCTGAGCAGACCTTAGAAGATGTGAGCAGAGGGGAAAAGAGATGAGAAGACATGAGATGAGCTGACATGAACTGCGAAGAGCTGAGAAGAGCCGAGAAAATCTGAGAAGAGCTGAGATAAGCTGAGATGAGATGGGATGGGATGATGTGAGACGACCTGACATGAGAAGAGCGGCGAAGAGCTGAGAAGAGCTGAGTTGAGACAAGCTGCGTAAAATGGAGAAGCTGAGAAGAGCTGAAAAGAGAAGAGTTCAGATGAGTTGAGAAGAGATGATAAACGCTCAGATGACATGAGAAGAGATGAAAACAGTCGTGATCAGCTGAGAAGAGCTGAGAAAAGGAGAGAAGACATGAGATGAGATGTTCTTGCTCAGCTCACTCAGATCATCTCAGCTCTTCCCTGGCCCAAAACTTGCTCCAAAACCGGATCCCGGCGCCAGAGCCACAAAAAGTACGATTTTGACGCCTTTTCAAAGGCAAATTTTAAAGGAGATGGACGCGCCAAAAACGCGAAAAATCATCAAGAACTCATCAGCGCAAGTTTGCGATTTGCAAACAGCAAGGTGCAAAAGACAATGAAACTACGTGCGGAACAGCAACGCAGAGCAACGTTGACTCAGCCACTCCAATGTGACTTGCAAACACCGAGTTGCAAAAGACAATGGAACTGCACGCGTAGCAGCAACATAGAGTGATGGAGTGATTTCAATGCGATTTGCAAGCAGTGAGCTGCAAAAGACCATAGAACTACGTGCAAGCATCAGGTTGCAGAAGCCGATAGAATCAATAGAATTATATATTAATTGCATTGGCAAGACAGAAGCTTCTCCTGGCCAAAATCTAAAACCGGATCTGGGCGCCAAAGCCGAAATGAAAGGACCGGATAGCCCCCACAAGTCAACTTCTCTTCCAATAATCAGAAACAGAAGTTGAAGCGGGACGGGGAAGGGAGGAAAGACAAAGGGATGCATGTTTTTTGGACCCGGGCACCTTTTTTTGGACTTGTACATGTTTTTTGGACCTAACCTTTTTTTTTTGGGGACCTAGAGTCACAAAAAATGTGGGGGACTTGCCTGTGTGTGTTCTAGACCCTGTGGGGATATTTTTTTTTTTTTTACCTGCATGTATTTGTGCTGGACCCAGGGAAATTTTTTCCACAGCCAAATTAATTGTTTCTGAGCTCGGTTTCTGTTTTTTTGGACCCGTGCGCCTGCTTCGTGGACCTTGCCTCCATAGGGTTGGGGGGAACTCCATTGACTCCATTGTTATAAGCGCTCACATTGGGCTGGATGTTTTTTGGACCTTGGCGCCTTCTATTTTGAACCCGTACACGTGTTTTTGGACCTGGCACAGGGTGGGGGGAATTTAGATATTGAGACAAGATGCATGCAAGAAGTTGTTGATGCCGGGGAAATTCGGATATTGAAACGACAAAAACGTAAGAAGTGGTGGAGAGGCCAACGGGGGCAGTCTACGTATGAAGCGAAATGGATGCAGGAAATTGAGAGGCACATAGGGGGAAGGGAAAGTTCGATATTGACACAGGATGAGCGCAAAAAGTTGTTGAGAGATGAGGGGTGTAGCCTAGACATTGAAACGAAATGAAGACCCATGAAGATACATGCCAAAAAATGCTGAGAGACGCAAGGTGATTTTTTGGGACCCGAAAATGAATGCCGGAACAGGGTGGGGGGAATTTAGATATTGAGACAAGATGCATGCAAGAAGGTGTTGAGAGAAACGGGGGAACATGTAGATATTGAAGCCAGGTGACCGCAGAAAATTGGTGAGAGAGAGGCAGGTGGGAGAGGGGGAAGCTAGACATCGAAACAAGGATGAACGCAAGAAGTTGCTGAGGCGAGAAGCAAAGTTTTTTGATATTGAACCCAAATGACGGTGCATGCAAGAAGCTGTGGAGAGACGAGGGGGGGAAGCTGAGATATTGAATCCGCATGAATGCGGGAAGCTGTTGAGAGGCACAGGTGGGGGGGACTTTAGGAGGCCACGGTGGAACCAGATATATAACCAAACGAATGCAGGAAGTTGCTCAGGGGGCCCGGGAATATTGAAGCAAGATGAATGCAGTGCAGGAAGTTGTTGAGGGGCACCGGGGAGGAAGCTCAGATATTAACACAAAATGAGCGCAAGAAGCTATGGGCAGGCGACGGGGGAAGTATAGATATTGAAACCAGATGAGCGCAAGAAGTTGTTGAGAGACAAGGGGGGAAGCTTAGACATTGAAACCAAGTTGAGATGCATGCAAAAAGTTGTTAAGAGGCCAGAGGTGTTTGAGACCAAGCGAATGAATGCAGGAAATTGGTGAGAGGCACAAGGGGGGGAAGTTTAGATATTGAAACCAGGTGAATGCTCCCAAGTGGGGCACAGAGGTGTGAAGAGTAGACATTGAGAAAGCAACGAACTCACCAATGTCCCAGGATGAGCGTCCAAGTCGGTTCAAGCTGTGAGGACAACACTACATGGCACTTCCTGCCCACTTTCATGCTAGCGCAGCTCTAGCGCCCTACTGTCTGAAGAATTTTCGATGCAGACGCGGCTGGACAGAAACGGGAGAATCTATCCAAGGGGGTATGGTTTGGGGAGCAGGGAGGAAGGATGAGGTCCAGCAGGAGGGTGTGCAGGTCCAGCCATCTCCAAAAGTAGTAAGGTCCAGTAAAAGTGTCGAGGTGCAAAAGAAATGCAACGAGGTCCCCAAAAAAGCGTTTTCCAAAGACAAAGGAGGTGGTGGAGGATCGATAAGTACAAAAGTTGTATGTGGAAGAGTTTTTTTTTTGTGTGTGTGTGTGAATCCTGCTACTGCATGCAGGCGCTAGAACATATTCATGTGCAAATCGATTTTTGGCTTGAAACAGAGCAGGGGGCCACGGCTCCACTCATCAGTCCGTGGCCAACGAAGCTACTGATGTTTGGAGGGGATATGCAGTCTGATCAACTGCACGTACCTGCGCGCAGAACTGTTGATTTCGGTTTCTCCATGAGGCTGTTTGCTTTAAGAACTTTGACCTTTCGTCCTGTTTCATATAGTTTGCCTTACATGTTTCTGAGCTCGGTTGGGAACCTTCGTGAAGTGTGCTCGTTTGGGAGCCTTCGTTTAGCGCGCTGGCCTGACATCGAGCTTGTCCGGGAGCCTTCGTGTGTTGTATTGGTATGGCACTGAGATAGTTTGGGGGTTTTCATGTATTGCGCTAGCATGGCATTGAGATTATTCGGGAGCCTTCATGTGTTGCACTGGCATGGTACTGAGCTGGATTGGGAGCCTTCATGTGTTGCACAGAGCCAGTTTGGGAGTTTCACACCTTTCGTATGGCACTGGGATTATTTGGGAGCCATCATGTGTTGCATTGGCATGGCACTGAGCTAGTTTGGGAGCCTTCACGTGTTGCACTGGCCTGGCAGCCATGGGGGGGTGGATTACCGGCCATTTTGGCTACAAGATGGGTAAGACACCTCCCAAGTGATTTTAGAGGGATTTGTTTTGCCCTTTGTGCTGAAGTGGATGGCCGCGAGCGCTTTGCCTGTGGATCTAGACTTGACAGGGATTTCCACCTTGCGAGGGCTCCTGGACTTTCTTGCCGTTCCTGATGGGTTGTGGACGGCCTTCGTGCAGCAGGTGGGAGACCCGGGACACCACAGGTTGATCGCCGCCTTGCCGAAGTCCGTGATCATTCAAGGTGCAGTTCAGGCTTCTGTGGGATTGCAGCTAGGAAGTTGGCTCACGTGAGTTCAGGTTTGCCAGGGGAAGAGTTCAAGGACGTAGACCCTTGGGAAGCAGCCAACACGACGAATCTAGCAAGATGCCAGGGACACCCGCTGGACAAGCTGAAGGAGTTGGGAACGCAGTGACATTATAGGACAAGGTGCTAAAGATGTCAAGCTTGATCGACCAGGCTGACGAGTCTGAGGTGACCCCAGCAACCTGGGATCAGGTGGATCAATGGATGAGTGCATACGTCACCAAAATGGGCAGCCCACCAGCTGAGGAAGAGGAACCGTCAGAGGCGCAATTGGCCGCCCTCCGCAGGAAGACGTTCGTGCTTAAAGGCCCACCTTATTTCAGACCTGCCCATCTTCATTCCATTTGGTCGCGAGTGCCTGAAAGCTCCAAAGTTTCGTGTTTACCATCCTTTGGGGGACGGGTCTTACATCATGAGGGAGCTTCCAGGCCCCGAAAATCTGCAACAGTTGTTGACATCGTGGCGGGTGTATAAGGCTGCATGTCTTATGCTTAGCATAGCCCGCCTGGCATCACTCCAAATTTACGAGAAGGCCATTGAACGCTTGGCATTGCAATGGCCCAAATGTTGGGGTTTGATATGCCAGGCTGAATATAAGGGTCGGGCAGAATGCCTTGACAAAATCGGGAGGAGACTCATGGTGGACGCCTCGAAGAACCAGAACATGCCGCACGATTAGTATCCTTGATAACCTATGGACGACATGTTTTCGTGTCCTTGCCGCAGATGAAGAATATTGGTCGGAGCAAGTTCGCCATCCAGCTGCTGCCTGGGCTGTTGCTGGTGCTCGTGGTACCCCAGTATAGCCCCG